TTTAAAATTTTAGATAAGGACCCTTGTAATCAAATTAGGGGTGTTTGTAATGAAGTTTGAATCAATTTTAAAGTAAAAATTCATCCGATATAAAGATAAAATTACTCATATTTCAATTTCGAATGACTATTAAAAAAACCTGATTCACTTCGATCTACTTTAATTATTAGTATTAATATTTTAAAAAATAATATAAAATTTTAGGTTTGAAATAACATTAGCATATAATATATTAAAAATATAAATTGAAAAAATCAATAAAGTGAAGTGGTTCACCTTAACACTAAAAAAAGGAGATAAATTATTTTTTACGGGTATAATTGATAATGGGCCTTAGCATATAAGAAGTCCAGTCCAGCCCAATATTGAGGTCTGTTCGGCGTTACATTCTATTTCGTTTCTCTCTCCTATTTCCTCCTTCCTCATCTCGGCGACGCCTTACAGCACTTTTCCTCATCTCACAAATCCTACCCCCTTTTTTATTTTTATTTTCATATTTTATATATTCTTCTATAAGAATATAAAAAATAAAAATTAGAAGTAATAATTTTAGTGAAAAGGGGAGGGAACGATCCCCTAAACACGAAAAAAATTGAAATCTAAATCTACAACACAAAATGGCATTTCACGTTGCTTGTCCAATTACATGGTAATGCTTACGCTTATGCTTCTCTTTTCCCTCTCTTTTATTTCTTTCTCCTCTATTTCTCTCTTATTCACAATTTAAATCGAAACACTCTTATCGTTATTGTTATTTTCTTCAGTCGAAGAATCTGTTTCTGTGCGTTAGGGTTTCCGCGTTCTCTAAATGGAACCACCAACAACCACAACAACGCTGCCAATGCTTTTCTCAACGACGTTTCTGCCCTCGGTGATTTCCTTGCCGGTGCCCAGAAAGAGGACTATACGATCCAAGTTGCGGTTCCCAAGGTTGTGCCGCCTCCTCCTGAGGTTGTTCCTGTTAGCGGTGATTTGCTTGATGAGTCGGCCTCCATGAAAGCTAAGCGTGTCGCGCTTCAGAGGAAAGGTGCTGCTGCTATGATTGCTGCTGAGGAGTATGCAAGGAAGTTTGAGTCTGGTGATGTGCTGGTGAGTTTGGAGGATTATGATTTGGTGTTGTTTTGCGTGTTTAAGTTTAGTTGAATTATGGTTTTGGAACCCTAAATGGGAAATTTATGCGGTGAAATCGTGGTGTGTGATGTTGGAATTGAATTTTGGTTTGAAACTTGAGATGGAGTTATGCTTAATGTTGTTGTTGTTGTTGTTGGTTTGGTAGGAATTTGATATAGAGCTTTGATTTTATTGTTATTTTTGTGTGAGCGGTGATTAATTTGATGTAGAGATTCTTTTTTATCTTGTGGAATTCTTGTATTTTTTGGGAATTAGGTTCACATGAGTAAAGTATAGTTGTTTTGATGTGCTGGTGAGTTTGGACGATTATGATTTGGTGTTGTTTTGTGTGTTTAAGTTTAGTTGAATTGTGGTTTTGGAACCCTAAATGGGAAATTTATGTGGTGAAATCCGGGTGTTGTGATGTTGGAATTGAATATTGGTTTGAAACTTGAGCTGGAGTTATCCCTAATGTTGTTGTTGGTTTGGTAGGAAATTTATATTGAGTTTTGATTTTATTGTTAATTTTGTGTGTGAGTGGTGCTTAATTTGATGTGGAGATTCTTTTTTATCTTGTGGATTTCTTGCATTTTTTACCGTTCTGTGGCTGTATGAGCAGGATACATCAGGAAATCTTAATGGAGAAGAACAGGGTCAATCCAATGTTAAGGTCTTTTGTCGAATGTGCAATCGCGTTGAGAGCGAAGGAAGTGAGAAAGCAAAAAAGATGCTTTCGTGCAAAAGTTGTAGTAAGAAGTACCATAGGAACTGCTTGAGAAGTTGGTCTAATAATAGAGGTGAGAAGGTATATGTGTGCAATCATGCTGTTATGTTCTTAATGATGCATGTTTTCATTTTGTGTCTTTCTTTTTGGCAGATTTATTTCATTGGAGTTCGTGGACCTGTCGTGCTTGCCGAATATGTGAGGTAATAGGTGATGTGCAGTGCTAGTGAGCCAGTGCTTTTCATGTGTTTTTTGTTCGAGGCTATTCTTTCTAAATCTTAATCTTAAAATCGATGCTGCAATTGTAACTGTTTATAGTTATAATCTCCATCTAGATTCAATCTTGCAAAAGTATCTTCATATCCCCACACTTAAATGAAGAATTGTTCCAGTGTTGTCGATGGCAGATGGCGGTCCATTGCGGGGAGCCAAAATCCCGCTATACAGGCTGCTTTGTGGCACCGTTATAGCAAATTATGGCAGAAATAACCTGCAGTATCTGCTGATATTTACCATTGTGGCAAGCCCAAAAATTGACATGTATATCAGCCATGGCGCCGCTATTTGATTACTCTGAATTGTTCTAACACTGGATATTTCATGTTATTTTCTTGAATATGTGATGCCATGTTTCGAAAAATGTTGCTTGACATCACTTTTTATTATGGATTAGACAGGAGTTAGGATTTGCATGTTTAATCAAATAAGATTGAGTATTTTTTTAATTGTACATAATGGGAATCTCTGTCTGTCTTTTCAAAATTTTCATGAAAGTCGTATTGAATATCATACACTGGCTTTCAGTTTCCTACATGCTGTATATTTATTTGTTTGTAAATTAAATTGATTTTGTATCCTACATGACAATATGATTAGACCATTAATCCACCTTTTAGCCCTGAACTGTCTTCCTTCTGTGTGATTGGGTATCCAATTGGTTTTAGAGGCTTTGGGGGATTGGTTATCTCCTTTTAACTCAACACCTACCTACAAAACATCCCCTAGACCATTTTTTTCCTTGTGAAATGTTTGCAGTTACTTCTCACATGCTTCACTGTAGTTCCATTGGCATTTAAACACACTATTTTTAATGCATATATAACTTTATATATAAAAATGAATGTTGTTGGTTGTTATTAGAGAAGTTGTTCATACCAGCTAATGGTTCATTAGAGTTCTGTTTGTCTTATGCTTTGTTTTCTTCTTCTAGGCTTGCAGAAGGACTGGTGATCCAAGTAAGTTCATGTTTTGCAAAAGATGTGATGGTGCTTACCACTGTTACTGTCTGCAACCTCCTCATAAGGTAGATTCTGTTTCCATTACTAGTGAGCTTAGTATTGATTTCAAATGCACCATTTCTTATATGATTACATGTAATGCAGAATGTTAGTACTGGGCCCTATTTGTGCCCAAAACACACAAAGTGTCACAGTTGCGCATCCAATGTCCCTGGAAATGGACTAAGTGTGAGGTACGAGTCCAGAATAATTCATGTTTTTTACTTACATGTGTGGTGTTGTTATCCTCAACATTGTTTCCATTCCCATGGTTTATTATAATGTTTCTCTTATAATTATGTTGATGCTCACGTGATTGGATGATGAAAGCTATGCTAGTTTTATAGACAACTTATCTTCCTAATTGAAGCAAAGCTAACCTTTTCTGCTAGATGCGTATTTAATTACTACCCGTGTTTATTTTAATTGTTTGCTTTTTATTTGACTTTACTGCCTGCTGCTCAGAGTGCTTTGGAAATGGTAAAATAATTTGATTGATATTGTTTTGAACGGGCACATTATTTTATTATTATTACTTGTCATCACTTCAGAACAATTTATCTTTCCCAATTTTGAAGCATGCAAATAAATTATTTTTTATTAATGCCTAGCAGTACTGCAGTAGCATCTTTGAGTCAAGTAAGCTATTAAGTAGTTTGAAATTTTCTCTAATTTTATGTGTGGAACTGTGGCAGTTAATTCATTCTCACTTTGCAAATTTTACAGAATCTATTTGATGGATTAACTTACGACTCTTCTCTTGTAATAAAACTGATAGGTGGTTTCTGGGATACACTTGCTGTGATGCGTGTGGAAGATTGTTTGTGAAAGGAAATTACTGTCCTGTTTGTCTGAAGGTGCCAGTCTTTTCTCTAAACCTCTTTTTAAATCACAGCCAACTATCTTTTGGAAGTTCCTAGAACAACCTCAAAGGAAATTCTTTGCTATATTTTCTAATTTCGAAAGAAACATATTTGTAGCATTCTTATTCCATATGCCATCTTATTAGACTGTGAGTAATTGTAGGAGATGAAACACATGCATGTTATATGAAATATTGTCTAGAATTGGGCAGGTTTGAATCAGGTCCCATTAACATTCAAGACTGCATCTGAATTTTATGCTCTGTACTTGCGCAAATATCATAAATACTGTGTTGTACATTTGTGCTCACGCACACACATTGTGTGGCAGGAAAGGAACTCTGAATGATTACATTGTTTTTGGCTTATTTTGTAGGTTTACAGAGATTCAGAATCAACACCAATGGTTTGCTGTGATAATTGCCAGCGCTGGGTACATTGTCAGTGTGATAATATTAGGTTAGTTTGCTGCTTGTATTTGTGAAGATGCATTGATAACTTTTTTGGCATTACTTCTCAGTCCTATTTTTTAATGTCTAGTTATTTGCATCTGTATATCTGGAATGGCGATAGTCAATTTTACCTTTTGTGGTATAGTGTACAATAAAATTAAAATTTGCACTTAACATAGTTAATTGCACTTTTTGTTGTTCTTTTTGAGGTACATAAAGATGCTTGGTGTTGGTAGAAATTTTCTTGGAACAAGTTTGCTTCTTATTCTTTTACTTGAATGATTGTGCTTGCTGAATCCCGACCATGTCTTGTAAATTATGCTATGCAGTCTGTTTAGGCTGTGCAGTTATTAAACCAATTTGTTATATGCTTATTTTTGAAAAAAATGTATTGTAGTGATGAAAGATATCACCAATTTCAAGTAGATGGAAATCTGCAGTACACATGTCCTACTTGTCGTGGAGAATGTTATCAGGTGTGCACATGGCTTTAATAAATAATTACTTTTATTTCTTAATGAAATGTATGCTTGGAAGAAATGTTATTATCTGAACTCACCATATATCTATCTGTATGTTCCAGGTCAAGAATCTTGAAGATGCTGTTCAAGAGCTTTGGAGGAGAAAGAATGACACAGATAGAGATTTAATTACCAGTCTGAGGGCTGCAGCTGGTTTACCAACACAAGAAGAAATATTTTCTATTTCACCATATTCTGACGATGAGGATAGTGGGCCTTTAAAGTTGAAGAATGATTCTGCACGTTCCCTTAAGTTCTCTTTTAAGAATTTTCCCAATAACTCACCTATTAAGATAAAAGATTATGGAAAGAAATCTTCAAACAAAAAGACTGCCAAGAAAAAGGATTCTCTGTCATTCATGACTGGTAATATTGATGCAAACCATAGTTTTGAAGGACACAGTGATGTTAAATCTTTACATAGCTTGGATGATGATAAGAATGACGATGACATGCAATCCCAGAGAAATGAAGGTCCTGATGTTTATTCATCACCTGCTACCGGAAGCCTGAGTCAAACTGAAGTATCTTTTCCTGTCAACCGTCCAAGTATTTTGAAACGTAAGTTTGTTGATGAGGTGATGGTCAGTGATGAAGAAAGGAAAACCAGAGTTGTTCGAATTAAAAGCAATAAGGCAAATAATTTGGATAGTGAAGAGGAGAGTGGAAAACGTGGTGATAAGACTCAGAATGTAAAAGGGAAAAAGTTGGTTATAAATTTGGGAGCACGTAAAATTAATGTAGCTAGTTCTCCGCTGTCTGATAATGCAAGCTTCCAAAGAGATCAAGATCTGGTTAATGCAAATGGTATGTCTAAATGAAGTTTCATTTATTTGTTTCCTATGTCTTTGTATTTTAGCTTGAGACATGGTGGGATTTAATTATGTGAAAATGGGTTATGTTATGGCTATTTTTTCAGTTAATATGACTTCTTTGTCCTCGTCAAGTCAATGACATGACATGTTTTATACATTTAGTATTTAAGTAATTTTCTTTACCATGCAACAGAATTTTTAGTTATTTTGATTTGTGTCTGTAGCATCATTCTTGTGTGCACATGATGTTTAGTGGTTTGATAGCTTTTTTCTGCCATCTCTCTTTCTTTATGTGACTTTTCCTGTTCAAATTTATCAGGAAATGAAAATCTAGCCCATTTGATGAAAGGAAACAAGTATGCATTAGATAGACACGATGGAATGGCTAGACATGTTGATGGTAAAGGTATGGTTGTTATTTCCCCTTTTGAATCTGTCTTTTTTTCCCGCCACAATGAGCATTAAGTATGAGTTGTTAGTGTCCAAAATTCAAATGAGTTGTCTAGGAAAAATAACACAGGTTCATTTAATTTTCAGGAAGTAGGGTTGACTCTGGTCAATTAAAACATTTAAAGGTTTCAGGAAGAGAAGGAAATATGATCAAGTTGGGAAAAGTTAAGCCAAGTGTTTCTGAACTTAACTTCACGTCTGGCAGGGGCAATATGTCTGATGGGTGTGAAGTTGAGCCTTTAGACCGATCTCACATTATGCGAGGTAAACGTAGTACTCATGGAATGAACAATCAAGTTGGATTAGATGCAACATCAAGAGGTGAAAGGACGTATTTAGCGAGGCAGTCCGAAGGTAGCTCTGATGTATATGACGAGACACATGACAATAATCACACATCTTTACATTCTTTGCCGAAAGATTCTAAACCTTTACTGAGATTTAAATTCAAAAGGCCTAGCATTGAAAGTCAAAATTCTCCCCATCGGGAAGAGGAGAAGACCACAGTCAAGGGTCAGAGGTCAAAAAGGAAGAGGCCTTCACCTTTTAAAGAGAAAACATTGTTTAATGACTCTGAAGGTGTAAGTCAATCTCCTGGAGACAATATAAATCATGAGAACATGGATGCAAACTGGATTTTGATGAAATTGGGAAGTGATGCAATTGGAAAGAGAGTTGAAGTTCATCAGACATCCGACAATTCTTGGTTAGTTCATTCTCTGGCTTTTCATTAATTTTCTTTAGGCAATGGAAAAAGGATGACTATTGAATATTATTTTAAAAAAAATAATGTCATACAATTACAGTATGAAGTTTAGTCCATCACTATATGTTTCCCCAGATACTCCATTTGCTAATTAGTAGTACATTTTATATATAGAGTAGATAATACATTTTATATATGCATGGACTGTGGAAGTATTCTCTATACACTTTATATTTACGCACTTTCAAACCTAAAAACTTGAGAAATTTAGGAATGCATGAATCATAAGAAATAGTTTCTGTTTATTTTACTGTACTGATGAAAATGAACTATGTTTGTTAACAACAAGTTGATCAACAAGTTTAAAAGCTGTTGTTGCATAAACACTCTAGACTTTGTAAAGGATGGAAGTTTACATTTTTTCCTTCATTTTTGTTCAGGCATAAGGGAGAGGTTACTGACACAGTTGAAGGCACCTCAAAGTTGCATGTTACTTATGATGATGGAAAAGTAAGCATCTTGGAACTAAGAAAGCAGGGGGTCCGTTTTGTTCCTCAAAAGCAAAAGAGATCAAAAACATGAACTCAAGTCATTCACCCTTGGGGATCGTTTCATGTGCAGACATCTTATTCATCAGACTTAAAGATTATTTCGTCTTTGAGGCCTCAATGAAATTTATATTCTTAGCCGCCCATATTGATGCTGGTTTTTTGGGTAAAGCATTCTCGATTGGAGCAATTTCAGTTTTCTTGGAAGGATTAGCCTTATCCCACCGAAGCCCTTTTTTGAACCGCTGGATCTTGATCACAAATTAGATTTTTTCTTTTGTTGTTTTTCTACATGTAACTGTTTTCACAAAGTAGATTTTTGCCTGTGGTGTACAGGTCACCATTGCTGTACAATATGGAGGCATGTGTCCTAGGTGTTAGATGTATGATTAAACGCTGCCATTAGTTTTTTTTTGTTTGTTTGTGAATTAGTGTCCATGAGATTAAATTCACGTGCCAGTCGGAGGACAGTTAGGAACAGGCCCTTTGGGGGTCTCTTCCCCGGGCATTGAACGGTCAACTCAAAACTGAAACGGACAAGGGGACTTCGACGACTTCGACTATTTAATTAAAATAAAGCATTGCGATGGTCCTTGTGGATGTTGACGCAATGTGATTTCTGCCTAATGTTTTGAATGTTAAACTGAAGAAATTCAGTGTGGGTAAACGATGAGAATTATTATGACTCTCTTAAGGTAGTTAAATGTCTTGTCATCTATTTAGTGATGTGCATGAATGAATTGATGAGATTCTTACTATCCATATCTACTATCCAATGAAACCACAACGAAGGGATAAAGCTTAATAAAATCAATGTTGAAAGAAGATATTGTTGAGCTTCACTTTATCCAACTTTGTCAAATGACTTGAGAGAGCTGTAGGATAAGTGGAAACTTGAAAGAGAGAGTGAAATACAAATATTTTTACCATTATTTCACTAATTCTGTGAAGCAGAGGTGCGGCGCTGCCTTACTTTTTGAATCCAAGGCTGACTTTAGTTAGTTGAACCATTAACATGTTGGGAGTTTGGTTAGGGTAGTATATTTGGTTAGGGTAGTATGTATATTAGTTAAAAGATGATACTTGATAACGCTGGTGTCCTAAGACGAGTTCAATGAGAATAGAAATTTAGTGTGGAGCAAAATGGTTAAAACTTATTTGATTTTGATTTTCAGTATGTGGTAGCCAACCGTTTATAGCGACATTTCTTTTTCATCCTTTGATATCGGCTCTATAAGCCTAGTACGATAAATCAGAATCTAGGCTAAATATGATGCGTGTGCTCGTCGTTCGCTTGCCGATCCTAAACCCCTAGTAATCTTGCTGCCACAATCCACTGAGATTCAGTCCTTGACGCTTCGATTTGTCCATTCTAATCCACGTGTTGTCCGCCTTCCATACAAAATGCAGCTGGGGTTAGATTGAAAAAAAATTTAGTTGTAAAATTTCAAAGTTACAAAGTGTGTGTGACGCTTCCTTGCTCCTAGATCTTGCCATTTTCTTTCTTGTTTATTCACGGTTGACGTGTCTAGTTGTATGTACAAAATTGTTAAGCGATGTGTCGGCCATATAAAGGTGGGCCTTATCAGGAAAGTTTCTTGTGACACTTTTTCTTTGGTTGCCGAAAGAAAAGTGTTGTGGTGAAAATCAGATATCAGCTATTAAATTAACTTGAATCACAAATCATTGAAGTTCACCATCGAGCTTTGATTTATCTAAAGGAAAGGATAAAGATCGAAGAAAATCCTAAGTGCGCAATGTAACAACAAAACTAAGAGATCTAAGGTTAAGGGGTTGGTTATACCTAAGGAAAGTGTTAGCATCCTAAATATATGTAATACTCTACATGAACCTCTTATTTGTATTTGTGTTATGCTAAAGTTTGCTTCCTAAAGAAAATGTGCTAAGGTAAAGATCTAAGAGTTTATTCTAAGTATGCTTGCTAAGATATCGCATCTCGTGCCTACGTATCCTAACTACGTGTGAGGAACACTTGACTGTGGTCAAGGTTCCAAGGGGGAATGTAAGTGTCCATGGCAAGACACTTACATAGAGTTAAGAAATTCTAAACCTAAAGTTAGGTTAAGAATGGAAAGAAAGAGTAAGTGTCCATGACAAAACACCTACAAAGAGTTAGGCAACTATAATCCTAAGGTTAGGATAAAAGAAAGGTAAGTGTCCATAACCATGACACTTACAAAGAGTTAGATAACTCTAATCCTAAGGCTAGGATAAATGAAAAGTAAGTGCCCATAACCATGACACTTACAAAGAGTTAGACAACTCTAATCTTAAGGCTAGGATAAAGGGAAGGTAAGTGTCCATAACCATGACACTTACGAAGAGTTAGGCAACTTTAATCCTAAGGCTAGGATAAAAGAAAAATGGAAGGAAAGAGTAAGTTAGGCTAAGCTATCCTAAACATGACATGGAGTCAACAAAGGGAATCCTTTCCTTTGGAATGGTGTAGAAGATATTTTGGATGCAAAAAGAAAGGAAAATCTACGGGAGACTGGATCCTTAATGTTGTCATACAAAGGACTGAGAGCATAATGTCTATCTTACTCGAAGCTTAATCAGAAGTTAAGTTGGACCAGAAGCCTTAAAGGAGCATGTGACCAAAGCACAAGTAAACATTACACAAATTCAATCACAAACGACATTAAGTACCAAACAAGAGTTAAGTAAAGATATAAATTCATGTCAAAGCATCATAAGTAACAAGTATCATGAAAGCAGACATCAAGCAAATAGTAAGAGATGGAAGGATCTAACCAAAAAGATGGTGCATGATAAGCATTGCCTTCTATTGGACCAGTGAGCCAAGGAATAATCAAATATCAGATGAAAACAAAACATTCTAGGTAAGTCTTCATAAGGATTAAGAACCAAATAAGAGCTTCATGTATATGACTTCAATATCAAAGTATCAACACCTGCACACAAAAAATTTCTCAATATAAACAAAGCAACAAAAAGGTCCAATGTCTCCAAATCTCAATTCCAAAAGCATATGACAAGGGTCCTAGATCTAAGTCCACAGTTCAAGATAGTAGCCTTTCGTGTAGTGCAGAAGGTAGTTTGGCAAAGGTAAGGTAAAAGTGATATTGTAAATCTTTGTGTGTGTGTTGGGTTCGTATTGAGTTTTTTTTGTTGCTAGTGTCGCGGCCTTTTCGGTAGCAAGTTTTGTTTGGTAGCAGAGGTGAGTTGGTACAGGTTATGTCCATTTGTAGCGGGTTTTTGTTGTGGCATGTGAAAGTGGGCGCTGAAGAAGACCTTTTTATTTGTATTATTATTTTGAAAAATGCTATTCTTACACTCTTTCTTACATCTTACACCCAGTTTACTATTCACAAATACGTGAACAAATTTCTCAGAACATGGTTAATAGTATGTATTTTATAGGTTAATGAAATAGTGAAATAGTGAAAGTGATTAATAAATTATAGGTAAAATAATTGGTTAATGATGTAGATTTTTGTGGTTAATACAACTGTAAAATTGGTTAATGCGCAATCTTATATTTGTGTTAAAAATAAATTTTAAAAATAAATATATATTTTTTTAAAATTAATATTTTAAAAAAATATATTATTTTAATAAAAAATAATATATGGTGTAAGAAGTGGGTGTAGGATGTGGTGTAAACATAACATTCCTGTATTATTTTTTGTAACCTTGACAAATCCTCACGGGCCTTTATTGTAGTTTGTGGGCTTTTGTTAGATTGCAAAGTTTTGTTGTATGGTAATTGGACTCAAGAATTTTTGAATGAATTAAAATTTTTTTTGTTTGAAAATTTGAATGAATTGGAATATGAAATTTGAATATGATTAGGATTGAAACTTTGGAATAAAAAAAAGGAAATTTGACATGGAAACTTGAATCTTGAATTGAACTTGAAATTGAGTCTTGAATGTAATTTGCAAATTGAATCCTGAACTGGATTTGAAATGGACTTGAATTGGATTGAAGATAAAATTGGATTGAAATTGAATTTGAATCATGGAACTTGAGATGTGAATCTTGGATGAAAATTGAAAATTGGTCATGAATTTGAGATGACATAGAATCAAGTTCAAAGTCTAGGAAAATTGATCTTGGAATTATTTTGACTCTTGAATGATATTTACAACTCTTGATATGAATTTGAACTCTGGATCTTGGACATGAATTAGATCTTGAATAAAATTCGAATAGAATTTGAAATTGAATGAAATTTGAAGATTGTCTAGGAACTATTTCCTTGCATTTGGACTGATGAATTGGTTCAATTCGGTTAAATCGTCCAAAGTTCTTTGAATTAATTCCAATCAAAACCACTTGAAATCATTATTAAACATCTCTGAAATCAATCTGGAAATGAACTGAAACTTTGATTCAAATTTTGAGAAATACCTACAAATGAATCACTTGAAACCATCTTGAATGGGCGACACTCCTGACTTGCACCAACAAATTATCCTTGAAATCAATTTTCAGCATCTTGAATTCTTCATCATACTAGAACTGCATTAAAACTTTCAATCAACTTTATGAGAAATAACACCACACCCTGATTCCATCTTGGACTAATGAAAGGTTGAATTCTCCTATGAAAAGAGCATGAACCACATAATCAGGGGCTTGTGAATGACATGATATATTGACCAAAAGTACTGACTTTTGATGGCTTTTGCAGCTAGACTTCATCAGATAAACTTGAACATTACACAAAACCCTGATTTGAATCCTCAAACACAAGTACTTGAATTAAATCCACACCTGTCCTCAAAATAGCCAATGACACAGATGACCTGAGATATGAATTGGGGAAACTGCACCAAAACCCTAATTAAAAGTGAAATGGCTCTGATGATTATTCACCCTGAAACAGTTGCCTTTACCATAATCTGATAACCTGATACTGAAACAAACCACTTGTTTGACCAAGATTTGCCCACACCTTTGGCCTGACAACTTGGCCTGAACCTTGATTTGATCCTACAAAGCCCGAGTCTCGAAGAACTTGTGATGAAGCCATATTGCACAGGA